GAAGCTACTGAGCAATAGAAAAATAATGCAGCAGCATCAGATAAGACCCCTATAAATATAGGTAAAAGCAAAAATAATAAATAAATAAAAGTTGGATCGCTAAAAAAAATTATACTTCTTATGAAAAAAATGAAAAGAAAAATAATGATTTTCTTTTAAATTAACCTATTTAATTCGAGAATAAAGAACTAAAATGTAAAAAAAGTAAATGAAAATAAACATAATAATTTATAAAATAATATGGAAATTAAAAAAATTTAAAACTAAAATGTAAAAAGTAAAAATTAATAATAAATTAAATAATATTTATATATATTAATTCGAAAAGTAAAATTATTATTGGAATTAAAGAATATTAAAACTAAAATTTAAAAAGTAAAAGTTAATAATAAATTAGTATTTATATATATTAACCCGAAAAGTAAAATTAAAAGTAAATTAAAATTTTTTTTAACAAAATGTAACAAGTAAAGAATTATTTTAATAATAAATAATTTTTTATATATTAAATAAATTATTATATTAATTCGAAAAGTATTATTAAATGTTAAATATTAAAAAATATAACTGAAGGTAAAAAATATATTAATTATCTTAATAATCGAGAAGTAAAATTAAAAATTAATTAAAAAAAATTATAACTAAAAAATAAAAGATGCCAACGAAAAAAAATATATATAATTTGTGTAATAATTTATTTAATTAGAGAAGTAAAAATAAAATTTAACTGAAAAAAATTTAAACAAAAAGTAAAAATTAAAGTAGTAAATTAAATATAATTGATATTTTTTATATTAATAAGTATTTTTAACTAAAATAAATAAAGTAAAGGATGAAAATAAATATAGATAACATATTTTATATATAAAATTAATTACTTCAGAAGTAGATTTAAAGAAATTAATAAATATTTTCATAAATAATTTATTTAATTCGAGAGTAAATAATTATTGCAATTAAAATTTAAAAATCGACATGTAAAAAGTAAAGTATGAAAATAAAAAAATAAACATTTTTATATATAATTTCGAGGATAAAAAAGTAAAGGATAAATTAAATATAATAAATATTTTTTATATATAAATAATTATTCTATTAAGTCGAGAAGTAAAATTAAACTTTAATTTTTAAAAATAGTAATTAAATTGTAATGAAAAGATTAAATTAAAAATAATAAATATTTATTATAATAAATTAATTCAAGGAGTGAAAATAATAATAAATAAGAAATAAAATTATAACCGGAATGTGAAAAGTAGAGGATGAAGTATAAATAAATTTAATTATGGAATTATTCATTTAATTCGAAAAGTAAATTTAAAATTAAAATTGAAAAATATTACAACTAAAAATGTAAAAAGTAAAGAATTATATTAAGAATAAATAAATTATATAGACATTAGTGATTATATTATTAATTCGAGAATTAAAAGATTAAATCAAAAGTAAATAATATTTATTATATAAAAAATATTTTATTTAATTTCATACAGTAAAATAAAAACGAAATAAAAAAAAATTATAACTAAAATTTAAAAAGTAGATGAAATTAAATGTAATAAATATTTTTTATATAAATCGAAAAATAAAATTAAGTTTTTTTTTTAAACTCAAATGTGAAAAGTAAAAGATTAAATTAAAAATAGAAAATATTTTTTATATGTTAATAAATATTTTATCAATTCGAGAAGTAAATTTATTAAAAAAATATAAAATAATTAAGTAAAGAATGAAATTAAAAATTAAAAATTATTTATTTATAATATCAAATAATAATAAATAAATATTTAACATATAATGAAAACTTTGTAAAAAGATACGCTAATAATACTTAAATAATATTAAAAATTAAAAGCTTTGCAGAAATTTTATTTGGTTTTACATTTCCAGCAAAAAAAAAAGTTAATAAACTAATTAATCCGAGAGGTAAAATATAATTAAAAATTAATATTTTGCAGAAGTTTTGTTTAGAAAAAAACAACGGCAAACATGTGCTCTATAGTAATTTACATTTCCAAAAAAATAAAAGGTTGTTATTAATATTATAAAATGCTTTAAACCGCTTTAAATAAAAAAGTTATTAGAAAGAATTAACTAATAAAGTAACATTAATTAATAATAAAGATTAAAATTTACCAAGTTTTACTTATAAAATTTTAAAAAAAAAGTTAAAAAAGTATAAAATTATATAATAAGTATTAATATAATAACATTCATTACTTTTTCTACTGATCGTGAAATAAAGACTCCATAAAATATCAAGAAAACTTAATACTATTAGTTATAATTAACGAAAAAATTTAAATTAAATTAAAAATAATATTTATAAAATTTTACAATCAAACTATTTATTATCATAAAAAAATTAAAAAAAATAAAAGCATAAAATAAAAAATATAAGCCGTTTTATGTTAATAAGGTGAAAAGTGTTTATAAATATGTTATAGTATTATTATTAATAATAATAAATATAAAAAAATTTATAAGTTATAATAGTAAATAAGTATAAAAATAAGTAATTGGCTATTAGTATTTAGAAAATTAAAAAAAAAATTAATCTTAGTTAACAATTATATTTATTAATAATAGTAACAGATAAAATAAAAATAATGAAAAATTTTCATACTAATAGTAATAGTAATAAATATTAATAATATAATTTTTTTATATTAGTATTTTATTAAGAATAAATAATAAAAAATCTTAGGTTCTTTTTGATACTTAAAAATGAGACCTTTTGGGCTCATTATGTTGTACAAATTGATGAAGAACAGAGTTGTTAGTAAAGCGGCGAGAAAGCTTTTTAATAAGATAAATTTTAAAATAAAATTAATAAAACATCTAAAAATTGAGAAACGACGAAAGTAATTATAAAATTTATTATTAAAAAACTTAAAGTACCTTATGAGGCTCCCAGTCAGCTCTAAAGTTGCGTAAATTTGATAAAAATTGAAAAGACCAAGAGAATAAAAAAATATAGTTGCAGTAATTAAAACAAACAAGTTAAAATTTCCAATATCATCTAAAAAATAGTACAAATCAATGAAAAGTTTTATCACAAATGAATTGAAATAAACTAAAAAAAAATTTACAAGATGCTGTACAAACGAAATTTAAAAAAATTTAATACCATCAGAATCTAAACGAGCCAGCCTAGATGATATAGAAACTGAATATCTGATAAACTGAAAAGCTTCAGCAAAGAGAACAAAAGGTGAAGAAAATTTTAATAAAAAAAGAAAAGTCGTAATCAAAAAGTTGCTTTTGAGGAAGTAAAATAGAATTCCAAAAACAAAAAATACGGGGAATTCCAAAAAAGATAAACCTGCCAACTTTAGAAAAATCTATAAAGTAATCTTTCGGCATTCTATAAATTATTAAAGACCCCAAAAATCTTTCCGCATAATAAAGAAGATAAAAGTTTCCCAATTGCGAAGGAAAAAATAAAATAAGTGCCTTGGGCTTCTCCCCAGATGATGAAAGACAAAGGAAATCCAACTATTACAGTAGAGAAGATGGCCGCTTCTACTAAACTTGATAAGCAAAACAGAGTTACCATCTTATCGTAAATTCTTAAATATTAACAAATCTAAATAAAAAGTTTTAACATTTTTCCTTGTACAAAGGAATTTTGGTAGCCAAGTTTAACCCTAATAAACACTTTACTCGTGTGTTCTATCTTCTCACTTCTCCAGTGGCATCAAAGCTGCTATACATTATCGAGTTTTTTCAGTATATAATATTTCAGCTTTTACTAAAACTTTTATAAACTATATTTATATTATAATTTAAATAAAACATTTTATTTTTTATTTCTCAATCTTTAATTTATTATAAGCGTGCTGCTAAAGCTTAACCTTAAGCAAAACAAGGAATAAAGAATAAATAATTATGTAAAAGCTATTGTTTTGTGTTCGCTAAAGAAATCTGCTTTTCGGTTAGATTTAGTAGCAAATAACTTTATAGCGCTTGGAAATGTTTTTTTTAACTTTAATCTCGGCGAAATTAAAAGTTAATTGAATTATTTAACAAGATTAAATCAAAATACCACTTCAAACAAAAAGTTTTACTAACTAAACTTCAAGCCCTAATAACTTTATAGATTGTGCTAACCTTTTTTATAGAGCCTACCAGGATTGTAAAAGAAATATTACATCTACGTGCTAAATATATTTACACTAAGTTCTATCTAGCTATCGGTTGATTTTATGAAAAGTTATTTTTTTCAGTAATTGGTTTTCTTACTTGGAGAATGATTTATTGAAGGGAGATTAAAATACAGTTTATAAAAATCATTTAATTTAAAAGGGGTAAAGTCTTTTTAATCTGTACTATTTTACTTTCAAAAACCTGGGCTGGTTCGAATAACCAAAAATTACCCATATTTATTAAAAAGTAAACCTAAATCCTTTTAAAATGAAGGTCGGCAAAAAGAAGTTTAAAGTTCATTCTTTAGATATGCCTTTAAGCTATATGTAATAAACTTTATAAACTTATGTATATGTTTGTACTCGTAACTATAGGTCAAATCGCTATCCTTCTTTTCGCCCATAATAATCCATACGTGGGTAAAAGACGATATTCATAAGAATATTAATACAAATATATGAAAAGGCAATCCTACAGCGAAGAAAATTAAAAACCAAAAGGATAATTCTGCTACGATATGCTTGAGAGAACAAATTTTTTAATTCAATTTTTTTTAGATTTCTTGTGTATTTAAGAAATTTTCTATTCAAGATAAACAGAAAGTTTACGTAAAACTGAAAAAGTTATGAAGGCTCGGTTTGTTGTTAGACTTTTTTTAAATAGGCAATAATATATCCGCCTAAGTTCTTTATTTTACTTAACGATAACGGTTTCAAAATTTGAGTATAATAAGTAGAATAGTATAATGCTATTGGAAAGTTTGGCTTAGCAAGAAAGTTTACTCATTTTATTGGTAGTCAAAAAGAAACAACACTATAACAAAGAAAGCTGAACTCTGTTATATTATTAAATTTAAAAAAAAAAGTTTATTTTTTCCTAAAAACTAAAGCAAGAACTATAGCAATAATAGCTAATATTATCAACACAAATATGAAAAAGATTATCTTTTTCTTTCTTATTTTTCTATTTAAGTTTTTTGCTTCTATGAGCTCAGCCTTAGCTTCTTCGGTATAATCTTCCGCCTCGCCAACATTGATTTCTATATGATCGAGTGTCTCGCCTTGTTGTTCAACTAATAAAGCCATATCCAAAAACATCTGGTGTAGTTGCCTAATAGATTTCTCTAATTTAAGAATCTCTTCGTGTCGATCTTTAATTTCTTCAAGAGCCTGCTTAGCCTAAAAAATTAGTTTAAACCAAAATAAGGTTATCTGGTAAAAAAATTTTTTTCAATAATAAACCTCTTGATGTCCTGGAGAAAGAATCTCCTGGGCGAAAATAGAATCACCTGTTTCGTTGCATAAAGCTGCATCAATTTCTTCTTCGGTGACATCCTCCTTAACTATTCTATACTGCCGTTGCACTCTTTCTCTATACTTCTGCTTAAACTTGCATTGTACTTTATTATACTCGGCCATACAATCAAAGAACTGTTCTGAAAGATTTGCATATTGTTGGTAGGGAAGGCGATACAAAGCATCCTTTTTATCAGGCCGTTTTTTCAATTCTTCTCCTAGTTTCTTTAATTTATTTCGAATCTAAAAAGATACAATAAAATTTGTAAAGGAAAAAATTTATGAAGCAAAAAAAAAATAATAATAAAAGGTTCACGTTATTAGCATATCTAGTAATTTCGTCGTTTGAGGAATCTATGGACTTAGAACAACGCTTCCCTTCTGCTTCAGAAACGGAGGCAAGTTTTTGATTATGCAGCTCCGATATTTTTTCTATGTTACTTTTAATCTTATCAATCCAACGTCTAGTCTAAGATTTAAAAATAATATTATCAAGCTAAATTAAATAACTTCCAAAAAAAGTTATAATCGACCAACTTGGTCTAGTTCCTCTAAAAACTCGGAAGCGTCTTTTTCTTGATCAGTAGTAACATTTTGAAGAACGGGGGAATACTTTGCCTGGGGATTAAAATCTTGCAATTCTTTAAGTCGGTCCTTCCCCATTTTTATATTGCTACTAATCAACAGTAAGGAGTAAAATTAACTTGCTATCGCAAGAAGGAAATAGTATTAAAATTATTTTCTAAGCTCTTTGCCATAATTTTCTTTCCAGAGGATAAAAAACTGGCCCCCAACGCCAAACTAAAAAGCTCTAGGCTTGTAAATAATAGTATAGAGGTATTTCTTAAAAAGATTTGTAATTCAATCCAACCAATAACAGCATTAGTAATGATTACAAAGAAAAACTTTCTATGTTTAGTTACAGTTTAACAAAAGTTGTATACATGTAATTTACCGGGCGGAAATGTGAGTTGCCACCGTAGCTCAGTGGTTAGAGCGTTTTCACGCATTCACAAAGTCGCGGGTTCGATTCCCATCAGAGCAAAGCCGTACTTTTTCTGGTCTGGTGGTCACGGGTACAATTTCCCTACAAACAAAGTTTTGATAATCTACGCACCGTGCTAGTGCATGTATACTCAACTTAATTTCGCGCATTAACAGTGGTGTTATTAATGGGAGGATTTATATTTATTAGATCTACTTATAACTAATTTCTGACAATGAGTCGAACCCTATGCGGTGTCGTCATTATATTCCAAGTATCTTAAAGCAAGTAACTTTGTGAAGAAAGGGGTTTATACAAAAAGTTGTTATTTTCTCATATTAAACCATTTCAGTTATATCTTCTAAAAAATTTAAAAGTGGTTAGTTGTTTGAATTTTGAATAATTTCTTATATTATATTAATTATCTATGAAAACGGTATGATTAAAAGTTTTATTAAATGAAATTTTTTAGCAGTTGTGAATACACTGTTTAAGTCAGTTCACGTATCCATATTATATTATTAAAATCTTCAAGTTAGGAAATAATTAACTTATATTCCTAGGCATAACCTTAACATGAAAAAAGCACTTAAACTTGCAATTTAGAAGGGTATAACTTTTATTTAAAAACCAGAAAGAAACATCAATGTTCTAAGTATTTTCATTTTTTAGGTCATTTAGCTCGAAGTCCGAAAGAAGAAAGCATGACAATAGGTACAGACCGTTTAATGAATTAATTTTTTGTAGCTAGTTTACTTTTTTTTAAACAATATATTTAACGGGTATTGCATATACAGTATTTCTGAACATTTTCGAAATTAGATTTACATATAACATAAGTAATATTTGATGTTTATAGTAAATAGCATATTTACTGATTAGAATGTATGCTGAGCCACGTATACTTTAATTATAACACTGGTTGAAGGGACTGCAGAAAAGTGTCCACTCACACTACGCGGTTAAAGATATGACGCTGTTAGTGAACACGTCGTTAATAGGACTACTCTAAACTTACTTAAGCGTCGTGCATGCTAACCTTAGCCCTATCCGCGTATCGATCAATATATAGATTGTTGTATCATATACTTGGAAAGGGACCATTCGTAAAGTACAATTATCTTTTACTACGCTAGCGCATGCGATAAATAGGAAGAGAGCACTACAAAAATATGACTGGCTATTTTATCAGCAAAATACCCTCCTACTATACCATAACTAGATACTTTATTACAATTTAACTTCTGATAGCTAGGATAGCATAGCAAAAGATACATATACTTTATACCGAGATAAAGTGGTAAATGGTGTTATAATGCCTCTTAGCTGTGTAAGATAGGTTGCAGTACGTATGAAGCTTTCGTTCTTGACTATTTACCGCTGACGCAGAGCTTTACACACTTAGTATGGGCTATGACACCAACAATAAAGAGATAAAGTACAGATAGGTAGATAAGAGATGAAGGCCAACCCAAGGGAAGCATCATCCGTGGAAGGGGGGGTTATGAACCAGCACCTTGCCTCACCTCGTCCTCATGCGAAGGATGAATCACCTTAGAACGGGTATCCAACGTGTAGGATTAATGTCCAGCCCTTGAACATCTCCTCAGTACGCTGATAACTATTAAATTTTTACTATAGGGCCGATCTTTTACGGCTACTTAACGATACTAGTCTAGGATAAAGACGCTTACCTTTGCCTTAAGCTACTAAAAATTTTACAACTTGTGAAGAAAGCACCGATGATAGCTACCAGTCGAATGCAAGAGATGCATAGCGCTATCCCTTGGAGCTCACCCAACACGGCTGAGGTATTATATTACCTAACTTTGAATCACTAGCCTACATCCCTGTGACTAAAGCCCAATGAAGGAGGTCAAAGCATCTCCACGGACAAATAGAAAGAGAAAAGATAAAACATATAGTTAGCATGCACGAAAGCGCTTGAGCATCGATTAAGAGTGTTTCTGTTCCTTTACACATGGTTTTTGCGAAGCTTAAGCCTTTTTCTAGGAGAGAATATAAAAATGTTGTACAACCTACTATTTCTTAGTCTAATTTTATTTAGGAGCATAAAGATATGAAGAATGTCAATAATTGTCCTACGATTTTTAGCTCGAAGGGCACCCCTAGATTTAAGTAGCAAAGCACTAATATACTATCCGCGTGCCAAGGTGGGCCTCCCAGCACTAAATGCTGGAGAAATCATAGTCAGTTTTAATCTCTAGTAACTGTTAATATTAGCTCCAAAAGGAAGAGATATTATAAGAGTTAGTCGTTTATTGATTTTGTATTTAATTATTTATTCGTTAAGTTATTTTAAAAAAATTTTATTTTAATTTATGCTTGGAGGAGTTTTTAAATTTAAATACGCATCTCAATGAACAGGTTAATAGAAGCTGTTACTAGAGTTTGATAATTAGTACCCAAGGTAAGTTTCCACTATGATAATAGAGTCATTTAATTGTATCAAAACGAAGTCAGAGATCTCATAGATTATTTTTTAGTGTTCACAAAGTAAACAAGCCAGAGTTTTAATTTCATTTATATTCTTGTTTTTTTACATGCGGTAATTTATTTGTAGTTAGAGTTTAAAGGAAATGTGCCTTTTACAGTTATAATCCTAATAGTTAATTAGTTGTACTAGGACGAACGGTACATACGCTTATCTCAATTTAATTCCTCTAACCAAACTTAGATGCCTTAGTCTTAATCTTGTTACTAACTTGAGCTCCTTTGAGTCAATGATCTTCTGGGACCTTGGTTTTTGTTATTTATTTCGCCAAAAATGTTTGACACTATCCAGCAATATATAATTTAAGTGCAAAGTATTTTGACTACTTTTTTTTTAAGTTGAACCTTGCAGACAAACCCATATAACATATAAAAAGAAATTCTAGGTTTTTTACTTATTTAAAGATTTGGGTTTTACCAGTAGATAATTTTGCTAATGCCGTCAGCATAACCCTACATTAAAGTAAATTGTTTATCTCTCACAGGACACGCTGAAATTGGTCAGTACCTACCTTTTTTAAAATTAACTGGTTATTTCTTTATTAGAAAAGTCCAACTAAGAGTACTCTTTGTAGTAAACTTAATACTATGATAAGGTAATCGTTTAAGATCTGAAACTTAAGGTTATATGGTGAACTTGTTGACTATCAGGGGCTTAATTTTCTTATTACTTGATTAATAATTAAGTATTGGAAAACAAACCTAGAAGACTGTATAAGTGAGAGGTTTCCACTTGTTATTAAAGCGTGTTAATTAAGTTAGCTTCGTGACCAAGTCAACTGTTAATGTTCAAGTAGAACCAAGATTACTTCCTAGTTCAAGATTGCTAGTTTTTTTCTTCAAAAGTTTTAAGGCATGTTAGGTTCTTTCACCTTAACAGAGTATAAGACTAGTTCTCATTTTTAGCTAGAAATTGTTAAACTTATTAAAGCTAGGAGGTTTTAACTATACTTCCCCCTTAGAGTAGAACGATTGTAAAAACTTAACTCTCAGTTTGTATTGTAAAGGCAGATGGTACTAACCTTGCACTATTCAATGGAAGAGCCGCCACTATAAAAATCCTACTATACTACTGTAGTAGAATAAGAACTAACACATTAGAGATACTAACTAAGTCTTCCTACTAAAGCAGGACAAAAAAAGGAGGAAATGAAGATATAAGGTAACGTTTTTCTCTCAAATTCGCTTATGCTAGTTAAACTGTGCAAAAGTAAGACGCACAAGCATCGCCTACGTAGGAGATACAGATACTTTTGGACAGTTGTGATCAGGAAGATCCACTTAGCCCGAATCTAAACTGAACTGTCTGCTCTCGACTTACCGAGCATCCTTAAGAGTCATCCAAAAAAATTATGCGAAATTTTTCACCTTCTGAGTTGGGTTAGTTTGTTGATTAATTTTTTTTTCATTCTTAGAATAACGTAATGACGTTCTTGGAATTGTACTGCTGCTTAATAGCTTATTTTTGATTGCTTTATTTTATTTTAAACAGTAATTATGACAAAACGTACCTGAACAAATAAGCTGTTAAACTCTAAATTTAAGGTAGCTCAGTCTTAAAATTTTCACAAAAATAATTGAAAATGTTTATATAAAACTATCAAATGTTTGAAATATATTTATTATTAATCCACCTTAAAAAAGTTTAATCGCAAAATTAATTAAGAAATAGAATGAAATTTGCTTTTTAAAGATATAACGGAAAACAAAGACGCTAAGTTTGCGACACAACCTCGTGCGTCAAGGAAGAGCAAAAAGCGCACAAGGGAAAGTGCGCAGCGAGAGTGAGTTAACAAGATTTTATTTCTTATATTCTGTTTTGAGAAGCTTAATTATGCAAAAAAAATGCTTAGTTTTATTTAAATAGTACTTTTCCCAGCGATTTTAATTATTTAAGGGGGTTATTTACTTGATTTGTTGATTAGTTTAAACTAATTTTTTTAGTATACAACCATACCCTTATGCGCAAAGTATGCCCAGTATAATTTTTAGGAATTTTTAATTAGTTTTGATTGGTTAAGCTCTCTATTTCTTTAATAAAGGTTAAGATACATAGGTCTAAACCAACTAAATTGGCAACTAACGTCAAGGTGCTGCTCCTAACTAGGTCCCATGCACTATAAGTTCTAATGTACTAAACTAATCTAGTATAAGATTATAAATAATTCAAGTTAATGGTCACTTAGCATATTGTTTAGAACCTTAGGGCCTAGTACTACTGCAGCGAGGGGAATTTTTAGAACTGAGATATAATTGTGTTATAAAAGATAAGAAGCACT